AAGCAGTGGGCCTACCCTGTCCTTGGTCTTCCTCTTGCTTTTAATGTATTTATAAAAGGTCTTCTTGTTTCCCTTTATGCCTGTAGCTAGTTTGATCTCATTTTGTGCCTTTGCCTTTCTAATCTTGCCCCTGCATTCCCGTGTTGCTTGCCTATATTCATCCTTTGTTAGTTGTCCTAGTTTCCATTTTTTATATGACTCCTTTTTTATTTTGAGATCATGCAAGATCTCCTTGTTAAGCCAAGCTGGTCTTTTGCCATATTTTCTATCTTTCCTACACAGCGGAATTGTTTGCTTTTGGGCCCTTAACAACGTCCCTTTGAAATACTTCCAACTCTCCTCAGTTGTTTTTCCCTTCAGTCTTGCTTCCCATGGGACCTTACCTACAAGTTCTCTGAGCTTATCAAAATCTGCCTTCCTGAAATCCATTACCTCAATTGTGCTGGTCTCCCTTCTACCTTTCCTTAAGATCATGAACTCTATTATTTCGTGATCACTGTCCCCTATACTGTCTTCCACTTTCTAGTCCTAGAATGTAATCTGGGATTTACCACCATATTGTTAGCCTCGTCCTTTGCAAATGGCCAGTACACCTGTACAGGTAAGTTTAACACAGCTGACTGAACTTTCAGTCTTTGGCCTAGATCAGGGGTCAAAAACCTATGGCTCTCAAGTCAAATATGATTCAGTATGAAACTGAATGTGGCTCTTTTGTCATTCCCAAAATACATGCAACTTTTTACATTAAAATGCAGGGTCTTTTCCCTCAACTGGTAGGGCTGTGTCTTGGTACCACCCCTATGCCCTGGTGATTCCCTCCTTTTCAAGTTCCCTAGCTTCACAGCTCCACTGAAGAGAGATGCCTCTGGAACAACACATTCAAGATGTCATGTCCCAGGGAATTGCAGAGGGACTGGAGGGAAGACAATGTGCATCCTCATTTGTCCTTTGTCATTCTAAATTTTAATCCCCTCCACCCAGGCTATGCAGAGAGGCATCTAGAGAGTTGGGAAATGGTGCAAGAGTGGGAGAAATCTGCACAGCATGTTCCTTCTGTGCATGAATCGGGGTACAACTGTAAACCAACAGCTTTACTATTGGTGGGACTTGCAAGGAACCTATTAAAAATATCATTTGGAATTCTGTGACTTGTGCCTCTAAATCGCTTAGGGTAGAATTTTCAGAAGTGTCTGTTTTTAAAGAAGTAAGCATAAGACAGAAAATTGAGGGCTGCAGATTGAAGGATTAATGCAAACTGGATGTAAGGTTTCGCAATGGTCTAAAAGACACTCAAAATGACAAAGTTTGTTAAGCTTTGATGTCCTGTTCTGAAGAAGCTGGATGTCTTGATGTCTTGTTTTGGTAGCTGTCACTCAGTTTTTCATGTTTTAATTCCTGAGGATATACAGAATCACAAAAATCTCTAGTTGTTTTCTTGCCAATTCAGCATCATTCCACACAGGATACTGTTCTCTGGTTCTTTGCCCAGTCTAAATTTCAGTGCCTGAGGTAACGAGGATTCCACTGAACCTTTGGGAGATTATTATGTCAACATCTCTTAGAAGGCAGAACAAGTTTCTATACTTTGACATCATCTTATTTCCCTCTAAAGTTGATACCGTTTTGTACCAATTTAAATATTTCCTTTCCTGCTTGGAGATTGTTTCTTAAAGACCAGTAGTACATGCCATTTACTTCAGGAATGCTAGAATAAGTGTCTACATACTTTTCCCTACTGTTCTGTATGCGGAACAGAATCCCCTAAGTCTGACTCATCCATCTCCCCCAACCTGAAAGAGATTGGGTTTATCTGATCACTTGTGGACAAAGATTGATGCAGAATAAGGATGTTAAAATGCGTTTAATTGACTAGTTGATAGGCACTTCCGCATTCCTCCTTTGAAATGTACAAGAGCCCCAGTAGGGGCTCTTGTACATTTCAAAGGAGGAATGCGGAAGTGCCTATCAACTAGTCCGCTGCTCACAAATGCCTGCTTTGAAATGCACTAGAGTCCCCAGCAGGGGCTCTTGTGTATTTCAAAGCCATGGAGCCTGCAGTTAGCAGGGGAGTTCCCCACTGACCCTGGGCTCTGTGCTATGCTGCATGCCACTCTGAGCCCGGGGTCAGCTGAGGACTCCCCAGCTGACCCCAGGCTCTGTGTGGCACTTCCCCGGAACCCGCCTTGGGCTCTGGGGAGGTGCTGTGCGGAGCCCAGGATCAGCTGGGGAGTCTATCTGACCCCAGGCTCCACTGCCTCTTTGAAACACGTGGAGGCAGCATTTCAAAGGGGCAGCTGCCACACAGCTGTGCAGCGCTGCCACTTTGAAGTGCCCCTTCCCCCCCCTTTGCCGCCCCCCAGTTATAGGAACGGTACAATCAACTAATCAAAAGACTGTCTGATAAGCAAATTCTTATCGGATAATCGACTAGTCTTTAACATCCCTAATGCAGAGATGAAGAGCATATTACATTGCACCATTCTCTTGTATGCTTTCTCTGTTTCTGTAACCATGCTGTGTATCTCGCACGTCCGCTTAATTTGTGTCATACCTTAAATAAAAACTCTATCCTTATTCTGCACCATTAAACCATTCTTAAATTGTGATTTTTATGGGGGATGCCTGGGCCAGTCACTGTCCAGAAGTTTTATTAAGCCTTATTGAATTACTTGTCCTTGCAGGAATGTCCTAATTGATCTAAAAAGATGATGGTGGTAGTGCAGAATGTATCTTGACCATGGTTAATTTTCTGGGGCACTATCAAACTAAAATTAGTATACATTTGAAAATAGTCACTCCTTGTGTCACTAGTAACAATAGATTATTTCAACAGAGATTTTTGAAACATTGTATTTGCTCCTACTGTTTTTCTAGTGACTCAAATAGCATTGTTCAAGTTGACATACGGCTGCATCTTGTGTGAGGTGAGATGGACAAAGGCTGCTCTTCTGTTGATGATGGACACTTCTTATCCTGGTAGAGTACCAGAATCAACGGGAGAGCACTCGGAGATTGATTTATCATGTCTAAGCAGATGTGATAAATCAACAGCCAGTGGATCAGTTGTTGCAGCATTGATCCCGATGCTGTGGAGATAAGTCCTTAGTCTCTGTACTGGCACAACACAGCTTTGTTCCATTTCACAAAATTCTAGGAAGATGTTTATGTTCATTTTGTTTATTTAATAACTATTCATTTTAAACTACCAGTCTTCAACCCTAGAGCTTAAAGTACTTTTTCAAAAGAGGGCAAGTATTGTTATTTTCATTGTTAGATGGGGACAGTGGGGCACTTATTTCAGGTCAGGGATCAGGTCAGTGACTGAGCATGGTTTCATGATTCCTGTTCCAGTGCCCTGTCCTCTGGCGAGTACTTATAAACTTATGAAACTTTCTGTCACTGGCTCATGTAATTTCTAACCCTATCCCATAGAGTCCTCTTTAATGTTTGTGTGTTTTCAGTTATTAAACTGATTCTTGCAGCAAACAGCTTCTAAGTTCCTGTCCTCCTTTGCCCAGGAAAACTTTGGGAGCAAGTTCAACAAACTTGAAGAAGCAGCCTATGATCATCCAACATTTAAATCCTTGGGATTTTGGGGTAAAAAGCTTTGTTCAACACTCATAGTGCATAAATTTAACTTAGTTATGGATGCTGGCTACATTGAGAGATGACTTGATACAACTTTTTTTGCCTATACCGTACATAGCCTTTACTTGACGGAACTGAAAGAACTCCATCTTGTGGCCAGATGCTATGTGTGAGAGGCTTGTGCTCCCTGTGCAGGCTGTGAAAGCCGCTTGAAGCATTTACTTTCCTAAGCAGTTTGAAACCTTCCTGAAAGATTTCAGGAAGTTAAACTAGTGTCTTAGCTCCCCAGGTGTTAGACAGATGTTTAGGGAACAGACCTGTGAGAGAGAAAATAACCTTTTTTCCAAAGGCACTTTTGTGCATTTGTTGTGGCTTTAAATCATGTTTTATCGCTTCTTAGAATGTGCTTGAAGTTTGTATGCTTATTGACTTGACTCAGTCCTGTTTCAAGCACGGATTTAGCTAGCATCAATATTGTGAGCCTGTCTGTATGGGAAAGTACAGTGGCAGCTTCAAGGACAAACTGTAAAAGCAGTTGCTTTATTCTGCTTGCCCTGTTCAGAAAAAGGCAACTGCTGGGAGGATGCAGAGAAGTTGGGTGAGTTCTGTGGTAGGGACAGAGGAGAACACAGTGAGGATTTGTGGCTGGTGGTGGTGGAGGTGGATTTTTCATGTTGGTTTACATATGCCGTACAAATCTACAGGAAGCCATGGAGGCTACACTTGCCCTCAGGTTGGGGTAGTTTCCAGTGGAGCTCGGTCTTAGTGTGTGGAATGGCCTCCCCACCCCTGGAGTGCTGATATTTCCTTTCCTTCTGGCCTCACCTCCATTCCCTTTTCTTTGCTTTGTGTGGATGCACAAACACTTTAATTTTTAAAATTATGATTATTGCTAGAATAAGCGCATTGGAATGGTGAGCCCAAGGGTATTAACCTTAAACATAAAGAGACAGCAGGAGGTCCTGAACATATTTTTAAAGAAAATATTGTATTTGGCCAGAAGGTTCCAAATCGGTTGAAGTTTCCTTTTTTTCTGTATATATTACTCATATTAAAACTCACATCCACTGATTTCCAAGGTCAAAGTATATTCATTTATTCACTCGCTCATTCATCCGTCCAGCATCCCATTCATTCACTGGTGGTTTTTAAGTAGAGCAAAAGTTCCTCCCTCTCACTAACCTATTCAGTGAAAACCTTTCATTTGCCCCTCAACAAGAGGGCCTTGAAGTAGCAGGCACTTGTTAAGTGGCCTTCATTTACTTGATGATGGAGGTCGCCAGTGAACTGGGAGAATATATTAACTTGCTTAAGAGTGCAGCGAGCAGAGGTTATTGCCTGGATTGGTAAATCTGATGCCACTCTCTCTCTTTTTAAATAGAGAAAATATTCTTGGTTCTATCCTCCTCGCATTGATTTGAGTCTTACATTTTTCTGATGGGTGTATGTGAAGGACATTTTTCTGTGACACACGCACATAGACATTTGCATTAGTGGACACAAACGCTTTGAAAGCTCTAGCGGGTGACATTTTAGGGTCACACTTTTTTGCAGCTGTTCTGATTGGTGGTGATAGTGTTGGGGTGGGGAGAAGTGCTGTTCTTTCAGTCCTGTGCCTTTGTCATAAATCCATTGATAAAGAAATGGTGCCTGCCTATTTCATGGTGGCCGCGATTAGAAGAATTAATCATGTAATGTTGGCAAACATTCTGAGGATGTAAAGTGACATTTGAGTTCTAAGTAATACAGTTAATCTCTCATTTACATGGGCATCATTGTAGATCAATAAAACACAGGCTAAATGAGTATCATTAGTAGACAGACAACACTCCGTTTATTCACAGATATTTCTGTACACCCTTGTGTTACACATACTTAACTGATTGTACAATTGTTATATGGGAATCATTGAAAAAGCAGCCATTTCTGGGGATGAAACATCTGTTTAGAGGCAGCTGCTCAGGACATGAAATAAGCATGTATTGCTGAATTTAAACTACAGGAGGAACATGTCAGCACAATGTTGTTGCCCAGGCTGGAATCCAACCATGGCTCTGTGGCAGTCAGGCCCATTCTTGAAGAAAAAAAAATGCCACGAAAACTTTACATAGTGGTCAGGATGTTGGTTTAAAATTTCATTCCTGGCTATTTCACATAAATCTGTAAATGGCTTTTTAAAAAAACTTGAACACCTGAGCAGTTGGCATGAGAATGACGGAGTCTAGCTAAAGCTGTGCACTTCAAAATCCAAATAAAATAGAAATATATTTTGTGTTGAAACAGATAGCCGTGTTGCTTTGATTTATAATTAATCTTAAAGTCTTAGTCTTGTCAGTATAAAACAAACTGAATCTGACTATCTGACAATGGCATCTGCTACTTGAGATGAAGGGTCCTGCATTGTATCATTTGCATTCTCCTAAAACATGATAGCTTAGCCTTGCATAATTTGCTGGCTTTCTGGGGCTCTCACAAAGAAGAGATGCTGTGGTGATAAGCTATATTACCTTAAATACATTATTTAATTCTTGAAAATAGCAGTAAATGGGTTCAGTTGCTCAGGGTTCTGGCAATATATTTAAAATTGCTTTGTCATCTCCCGGTATATACATGGCTTGTTTGTATTTGGATAAATACAAACTTTGTGTGAGCCTCTAAGGTGATGTTTGGGAATGCTGTGTGCTGCTTCACCTCCAAAGAACGGAGTTCCATGCTTGTCAGTTGTAAATGCCTGTGGTTACACAATGGTAATGAAGAAGAGTATGAGTGTTATACATGAACACATAACCTGGAACATCTTTCTATGGGTGGAGGAAAATAGCTGTGATGCTTTCTTCTGGTGGATGCCCCTATTGGATAAGCAATGGGAGAAGTCTTCAGAAAAGTAACCTAAGCAATCTTTTTGGAAAGTGTATTTTATTAGAAAGAGTCTAATGAGACTTTTAAAATTACTTCCTCCCCGACATTATGTATTTGAGAAAGTTACTGGATATAAGGGGTGGGATGGCGAGGAATAGAGAGCAGATACATAACTGAGACACATCTAGTGGGTAGGAATTCAAGCTATGGTTTCTATGACAACATGTAGATCGAGCCAGATCTGTGTTTTTTCAGAATACTGGGTGAATAGAATGAATTCTCAGTTGCCAGCATATCTATGGCAGTGTACCTGATGCTACAGCAGGGCAGTACTGATGGGGCCCCCGGTTGTATATAGTGTTGTGGAGGACAGCCTGTAGAAGCACATAAGGATTTGCATTCTATTGGAGGTTAGACTATCTTTAGGGTGGTATCAAAATGTAGGATCAGAATTTTTCTTTTAATCTAATAGATCTGCTGGTGTAATGGTAGCCCATAGAATATAGACTTGTTCAAGCCTCTTCTGAAAAACATTCTCTTCTGACTTTTTCACATTAACTGCAACTGAAATTGCAGTGGTACTTTGAATGAACATCGAGCCAAGATCTGTCTTCGACACATTTCTCTTTTAAAAGGATCTTTAGCCTTATTTAGGGCCTGAGTTTTCAACAAGAGGACTCACAAATATATGCCTTGTAGATAAGGGATAACGAATCTTGTAGATAAGGGAGAAGCGGTGGACATGGTATACCTAGACTTCAGTAAGGCGTTTGATATGGTCTTGCATGATATTCTTATCAATAAACTTGGCAAATACAACTTAGATGGGGTTACTATAAGGTGGGTGCATAACTGGCTGGATAACCGTACTCTGAGAGTAGTTATTAATGGTTCACAATCCTGCTGGAAAGGTATAACAAGTGGGGTTCCGCAGGGGTTTGTTTTGGGACCAGCTCTCTTCAATATCTTCATCAACGATTTAGATATTGGCATAGACACTACGCTTATTAAGTTTGCAGATGATAAGAAGCTGGGAGGGGTTGCAACTGCTCTGGAGGATAGGGTCATACTTCAAAATGATCTGGAGAAATGGTCTGAGGTAAACAGGATGAAGTTTAATAAAGACAAATGCAAAGTGTTCCACTTAGGAAGGAACAATCAGTTTCACGCATACAGAATGGGAAGCAACTGTCTAGGAAGGAGCATGGCGGAAAGGGATCTAGGGGTTTTAGTGGACCACAAGTTGAATATGAGTCAGCAGTGTGATGCTGTTGCAAAAAAAGCAAACATGATTCTGGGATGCATTAACAGATGTGTTTTGTGCAAGACACGAGAAGTCATTCTTCCGCTCTACTCTGCGCTAGTTAGACCTCAGTTGGCGATATTGTGTCCAGTTCTGGGCACCGCACTTCAAGAAGGTTGTGGAGAAATTGGAGATGGTCCAGAGAAGAGCAACAAGAATGAGTCAAGATCTAGAGAATATGACCTATGTAGGAAGGCTGAAAGAATTGGGTTTGTTTAGTTTAAAAAGAGAGGATTGAGGGAGGACATGATAGCAGTTTTCAGGTATCTAAAAGGGTGTCATAAGGAGGAGGGAGAAAACTTGTTCATCTTGGCCTCTGAGGATAGAACAAGAAGCAATGGGCTTAAAGTGCAGCAAGGGAGGTTTAGATTGGACATTAGGAAAAAGTTCCTAACTGTCAGGGTAGTCAAACACTGGAATAAATTGCCCAGGGAGGTTGTGGAATCTCCATTTGTGGAGATATTTAAGAGTAGGGTAGATAAATGTCTATCAGGGATGGTCTAGACCCGTGGTCCCCAACACGGTGCCCGCGGGCTCCATGGCGCCCGCGGGGGCATTTCCATGTGCCCGCCAGGTGCTCGGGGCTGGCCTGGCTCCGGGCGCATGGCGGGGGGGAGCGCCGGCCCCGGGCGCGCGGCG